TGTAAAAGAAGCAATTGACACAATTCAACTCAATATCCAGTGGATGGAGAGGAACTTAGCAAAGCTGGAAGAATTGCTGTAGTGCGCATAATACTGTGGTGTGTCAGCCATTTAGGAGCTCTGTGAACAGTTACTGTGTTTCTTTTGCAAAAGCCAGGGGGAAATCAGGCATCACTGCTGCAAACATTGCACTATTACGGAGTCTAGATAGCTCAGGGCATGTCTCAAATAAATTGTTATTTTCCTTGAAGCGTTTTTGAGCAATATGTAAGTATTTACCCTGAAATGGTTTTCATCTATAGACCAAATGTCTGCACAAAAGATTAAATATAATTTTATATGTGAAACTCACATCCTTTCCTTTGGAGTTGTGTTGTAGTTTCTTAGCAGTGGGTCAGTATTGACAGTCAGGTCAGAAAGAAAGAGTTACCATGAACTATTACTTCTTTGCAGACTCTCATTGAGCAGTAGATTTTTTTTTTTTTTAATGCAAAACTGTATGTGGTTTCCACATTTGTAGATATAGAAGCTATTGTGAGACAAAATGGTATTTCAGATACATAAGTAGTGGTGAATCTTAAAAATTATACAACTGAGGCAAAATAAATGCAATTCCAATTTGATTTAAGTTTGGACTTTTTATTTTCATGGTGTTCATAAGGAATTACACATGTGAAAATAAATCTTGTGCTAATAGTATACAGTTTGGTGTATAAAGTGGCTGGACAGTAGTCTGGAGAAGAAGACACAGATAGCAGAACCAAGTGTTTTCAGAGGTAGGATTTCCAGAGGCAGTAATGTAACCTTGGAACTTTTATTCTGAATTTATCAAGATAGTTTTGAGAATCTCATCACGAATCACTGATCTTGAACTGATTTTGCTGTATTGGTCTCTGACCAGCTGCACAAAATTGCACTTTTTCCAGGTTGGTTCATCTCTTAGACTGACTACTGATTTATGCCCTTTTCACTACTGATTTTTAATTTCACTCCTTGTTGCAGGGGGTTTGCAATTAATAGTTATGTCAGTCACTTCATTTATGTAAACTTCTGGTTTTTCATTGCCTGATAACTTGCAGATCACAGTATAATTTGTGAACATTGCTCATTCTTCATGACATTAGCTTTAGGAAAGCTTCTAATTTAGATTTTAATTATTTGCTTTTCTAATGTTGTGAAAAATCCTCTGAGACAAATCCTCGAAGTCTTTTACAGAATGGGAACTAAAACTCTCTTGTGCTACACTAGAAAGTCAAAATACCTGCAGTGCAGTCTGTGTCTTTCAAAAGTAGTGAAAAGAAAATGTTTTAAGTATGGCATATATATACAACACATGGAAGAGTAAACATACCTTTGTATCCAGAGATCTGTTCTATTCATTTCACTACCAGTGTGTCTTCTGTGGACTCATGCAAGCAGATTTCGAACTGTTGTTAAATTATGGAATGAGAATTGCAATCAAGTATATTCTTGGGAGTTTTTGTACTGTTATGTGCTATTGCTTTGATCCTTCCTTTATTTTAAGTCTTTGAGATCTTTACAGAAATATTGTTTCCATCTTTGCATATTTTTATATGTATATGTGTATATATGTATATACATATACATATAAATATATGTAATCTTTTTCTTCCTGGTCACTTCTTAAATTAAATGAGAAGTCAGTAGTAAAATTTCACTTTTCTGTCCCTTCTGTCTCCTCATACACATTTTACTTAATCCCTGGCCACAGTATTGAGTCTTACAAAATTTAAAATCAGAACTGTGGAAGAGGATCCCATCTTCCTCCTGATTTCTGCTGTGGAATTTTAAAAATTTACTATTCAGATGCTTTAGTGATAATTATGAAGAAATAGTATGGAGCTGAGTTTTAGACAGCAAAGTATACCAAGAAAATCTGGAAGACTGGGGAGGTTGTTTAATTTTACTGTTAGTTGCATATGCATACTTCAGTGTGTCTGTTGTAGAGGTTTTTAAATTATTTTTCTGTCGTGGAGTCTCCAACCTTAGTAAAAAAATTGTACAGGAGTCCTCTTTCCATAAGAAATGCTTAAATGTGGTTCTCCCTTTTTGAGTATACTGGGAATTGGTACTGAATTGGTACTGAAATGGTACTAAGACTGGTGCATGGTGGACAGCCTTTGCTGGCAAGGCTCGTGTTGGACGTGGGCTTAGGGCAGGGTAAGGGTCTGGAAAAGAGTGGCAATGCAAGACAAAGAGTAGAACCCAAGGGTTAGGAGGGCTGTGAAAGGTAAGGTAAGGTAATGCTACCAGAGAGACTTGGGTGTCCCATTAGCTGAGTTCTTTTTAGGATAAGTGAGAGGGTTAAGCTTAGCCATAGGTGCAGGACAAAAAGCAAAGCCACAGTGTTTGTGGGGCTGTGAAGGAACAGCCCAGGGGGAACATGAGGACATTCAAAAGGTTTTGGCCTAGACCATGAAAAATGAGAGCCATAGCTGGCTCCCTGTTGGAGCTGGGGTCTGATAAGGGTTAACACAAGAGAATTAGACACAGGTACAACAAGAGAGAGCCCCACAGTATTTGTGGGGCTGCAAAGGAGTTGCAAAAGAAAGGTGAGGGGTACCAAAGCTTTTAGACTCTGCCACGTTTTCTAGGGATCCATTGCTGGCAGAGTTTGGGGTGGGCCTGTGCTTCGCATAGGGTTGTGATCATGTTGGTGACCATTACAACATGCAAGAGCAAACACTGAGACCCACTGTGAGTTTGACTGTGAAGGGTCTACCAGTGGAAGGTGAGGACTGCCAACACCTCTCAGTCCTGGCTGCTTCTGTTGGGAGCCCTGGGTGGGTGGGGTGTGCGTTGGAGCCGGACCCTGGGTGAGGCTGAGGTGGTGGGTGAGGGTCAGGCAGCAGAGCAGCTGCAGAGCCCCAGTGTTAGTGGGGCTTTGAACGAGCTGGCAAGGGAAGCTGAGGGCCAAAAGCTTTCAGTCCTGGCTGTTCCTGTGTGAGAGCCCTAGCTGGTGAGTCAGTTTTGAAGCTGAGCTCTGGCTAGGTTTGTCATGATGTGGGAGAGGATTAAGAGCTAGAGCAATCACAGAGCCCTGGTTTTTGTGGGGCTGCAAATGAGCTATCAAGGGAAGCTGAGAATGGCCAAAAGATTTCATTTTGTGCCACTGCTCTAGCCTGTCCTACTGAACTCTACACCAAGCCCATGACTCCCAAACAGAAGTCCCCAGGTATGAAAGCAAAAATGCAAAAAAACTACCAAACAAAAAACTACACCAAAAAAAAAAAAAAAAAAGGAAAAAGGAAAAAGACCACAGGGGGAAAAAAAAAACAACACACACACACACACAAAAAAACCCAACAAAAACCACAAAAAAACCCACAACACCCCCCCAAAAAATAAAATAAAAAATAATAATAATAAAAGAAAAAAAGAGCTATTGACCACAGCGAGTTTCAGTCTCCAAATCTGACATGTGCAGGTCTCACTTGGCCATAGGATATGGCCATCAACAGCAAAGGCCCTCAAGAACTTGTAAGGGTGAAGCTGCTTCTTCAGCTCAACAAAGCTCAAGCTTCCCTTGGTGAAAGCACACTTTCCATGGAAAACTTAATTTTTCTCTGCAAAAACCAGAGGTTGATAGCTAATGCCCGCTTTACCAGAAATACCACTGCCAGCGCTGCATGAAGGACATTTATGCCTTAAAACCTAAAGGAGAACTACAGGAGCAAACTGAAGTCTTTTTGCTCCTCGTTTCCTTTAGTAACCAAGGATGGGAAAGGGGATTATCAGAGTTACTAAATTCGAAAAATAAAAAACCAGCCACATCTCACACTCAAGTCCAGCATCTTGAAGAAGGGCAGTCTGGAGCAAAAGGCATGCTAGGGAGGGGTGGACAGGCTGTGGTGCAGGCTGTAGTGAGCCACAACCACTTCCTTCTGGGACAATGCCTCCTGATCCAAAGGCAGCCCTGGTGCCAAAGGCCTGCTCTGTCCTGCCCATGCTCCTTCTCTGTGTGCATGCAAATGCTGACGTTGACCTAATTGTTGAAATAAATTTGCCTACTTTCACTGTTAACCAGGTTTGCAGTGCCACTCAATCTCCTGTGTCAGGCCAGGCCTCCCTGGGCCGGCACCTGCAAAATGAGGCTGCACAGGCAGGCACACCAGGGAACTGGAAACTGGACTCTGGGTGTCTGGGCAGGAACCTTCCAGCTCCTTGGGTCTTCCTTTAACTTCATCAAAGGAAAGCTCAGAGAGCTGGAACTTGGTCATCAAGGAGTGCAGCTCCTTGTTTGTGTGTAACTGAGGTGACAGTCCAACACCCAGGGTGTGCTGTGCCTCAGGAAAAAGGGGTAAGCTCTTCAGCAGTCAAATGGAAGCAACTAAAGAAGCAGCCTTAACCCTGAAGGGGCTCCAGTTCCTTCCCGTAAAGGAAAATTATGTTTAGTTAGAGTGGTTCATAGTTAGGTTGTAAACACCACCAAAAAAAGGTTAGGCCTAGAGGCTGTTAGAGTTGCTTAGTTGATTTTCGTGTCTCAAGCAAGAAAACAGTGTCAACAAAGTGGTTTTAAAAACCCCAGTGTGGGGCTTTTTGTTGTTGTTGCCACAAATTCTGTAGCAGTTTCTGATGACAAATAAAAGCTTTTATCATTGGCAGAGTACTGGCACAGCTTTCCCAGACAGGCTGTGCATGCCCCATCCCGGAACTGCTCAAAGCCATGTTGGATGGGACTCTGAGCAACCTGATCTGGTGGAAGGTGTCTATGCATGTGGCTGGGGGTTGAAACTAAAGGACCTTGGAGCTGCATTCCAAGCCAGACCGTTCTGTGGCTCTCTGACTCTACGTTACCCCTCTCCCCCCACCTCCAGAGGCCACCACCGTGCCCAGATCGTGGAACCAGCCCCTCTGTGACATCAGCCCCGGGGCTCAGGGCACTGCGGGCAACTCGAACGCTGCGAGCACTTTGTTGGCAGCTGCGCTGGAAGCGACGGGCCCTCAGTCCTTGCAGCTGATTTGTGTCGCTGGCAGCGATGATTTTGCTGCGCCTGCTCCTCCTGCTGGCCCTGTGCGGGGCCGCGCACGGCACACCGGGCAAGTGCGGGTAAGTGGCCCCAGGGCCCCAGGGTAAGTGGCCCCAGGCTCTGGGCGGGAGCCCGGGCAAGCTTTAGGGTGCCCGCTCGTCCGCTGTGGCTACACCAGTTCTTCCCAAACCCCGTGTGGGAGCCTCAGCTGACCTCGCCCGCACTCAGACTGCGGCACAGCTCATCTCCGGGGCTGAAGCAGACACAGGAGCAGAGGGACACAGGACCCACGGCGTCCCCTGGCCCTGCTGGCCGTGCAACCAGCGCCCTGTGGGGAGGGCATCCTGCTGCCCTTCAGCCTGAGCAGCAGCCAGCCCTGGAGCAGAACAGTAATGACTTTCTGCTTACAGAGAGAGCTGCGGGCTCTGGCCCATGCGCTCCACCACGCGCATTGTGGGTGGCATTGATGTCCAGCCAGGAATCGGAGCCTGGGCTGGGATAGTCAGCATTCGGAGTGTATACACAGAAGAATGGACTACGCATGTCTGTGGAGGGACCCTCATCAGGCCAGAGTGGGTCCTCACAGCTGCTCACTGCTTCGTGAATCAAACAACGTAAGGAGAAACACTGCCCCATAGCTCTGCTTTCCTCTCTGCCTTGGGAAGCAGAAGGCAGGGAACTGCTGGGCTGCCACAGCACATGGCTCTGCTTCTTCTAAGCCCTCTCTCCTTCTCCTTTCCAGTCCCCTCAATGAGTGGGCTGTGGTGGCTGGGGCCACCAAGATTGGTGAGATGGGTCCTCACGTGCAAGTGCGTCGGATCAAGAAGGTGTACCTTCACGAGCTCTACGATGGCCGCATCCATTATGACATCGCTGTGATGGAACTGCAGCAGCCCATGGAGTGCACTCCCTCCATTCAGCTCGCTTGTGTGCCAGGTCCCACCGTCAGGGTGTTGTCTCAAAACTGCTACATCGCTGGCTGGGGTGACACCTATGCAAAAAGTGAGTTCCCCAAAAAGGACCTGTGCCCTGAGGGCAAGCTTGGTACACTGGGCAGAGAGGGGTGGGGCTTCCTGACAGCAGAGGCCAAAACCAGGGTTGGGCTGCCAAATGTTTGCCTCTGGAGGGATGGGACAAGCCTCCTCCCCAAAGACAGACACCAGTGACACAGCACTCCAGTGCCTCTCCAGAGGCAGAGCCAAGCCCTAGGGAAGGGCTTCATCCCCAGACAGGCCAGGGCAATGAGCAAGGAGCTGCTGGGACCTCATTCCTCTCTCTGTTCACAGCTCTAGGTCCAAACCCAATTGTCCTGAAGCAGAGCGGGGCGCTCCTCATTGATATCCGGCTTTGCAACAGCAGCGACTGGTATGGAGGGAAAATCAAAGACTACAATTTGTGTGCTGGTTACCCAGAGGGTGGCATGAGCACCTGCCAGGTGAGGAGCGTGCTCAGAGTCATTCAGCCCCCAGCAGTGTGGGCAGCACTACCCAAACACAGTTCAGTGTGTGCTTTGCCTGGCCAGCTGCCCTCTGAACCCTGAGGCCCCATCACCACTGGGGCTTCCCTCCCCCTCCCAATCCAAGGGTCCTTGTCCAATTCCCCCCTTGTCCTAGCTGCCTGGCCCTCTGCCCAGAGAGCCTGTCTAGTGCTCTTGGCAGCCTAGAGGTCCAGATGCCAATCCTGGAACATCCGTTCTCCACACCTCCAGGATCACTGAGCACAGAGGACAGAGAGCCCTACCTTACTGGCCCGTAACCCTGCTCCCAGCCATGGTTCTGGAGGCTTCAGCACCTGAGCAGAGCTTTGCTCTGCCAGGAATCCAGCTCTGCCAGGGGCTGGGAGAGCAAAGGAGCCAGCACTACGTGCTGACACTTGGGATCACTCAACACTCCCTTAATCTCTGCTTTGCTGCAGGGTGACAGCGGGGGGCCTCTCATCTGCCAAGATAGCAAAGAGGACTTCTTCTGGGAAGTTGGTCTGACCAGCTGGGCAATAGGTTGTGCCAGAGCCAAAAATCCTTCAGTCTTTATCTCCACTCAGTACTTCTACAACTGGATCACGGAAAAAATAGGCCATAGCCCAGGAGCAGCACCTGTTCCAGCACCCTGTCCGTTCCCACGGAAGAAGCTGCTGCAATTCTTTGATCTGCTGAAGGAGCTCTTGAAGTTCCTAAAGGCAAAACCAGCTTGAGCAGGGGGATGAGCAGGTTGCAGTGCAGGCTGTAGTGCGCCACAACCACTTCCTTCTGGGACAATGCCTCCTGATCCAAAGGCAGCCCTGGTGCCAAAGGCCTGCTCTGTCCTGCCCATGCTCCTCCTTTGTGTGCATGCAAATGCTGACTTTGACCTAATTGTTGTTGAAATAAAGTTACCTATTTTCACAGTTAACCATGTTTGTTGTCCCACTCAGTCTCCTCTGTCAGGCCAGGCCTCCCTGGGCCAGCACCTGCAAAATGAGCCTGCACAGGCAGGCAAAGGGAAAGGGCACAAAAGGGAATAATGGAAAAGGGTCCCTCTAAAGGACTGGAAGCGTACCTGTTCAGAGAGGCCAAGGGTGCAGTGGAAGAAGGGAACACAGGTTCTAGGGGCTTACAGGTCTTAGCGTCAGCAGCTGGAAATGCATAGCCTTAGGCTGCTGACTGGTGGGATGTCTCTGTGTGTGTATGTGTGTACAGCACACCAGGGAACTGGAAACTGGACTCGAACCTTCCAGCTCCTTAGTCTTCCTTTAAATTCATCAAAGGAAAGCTCAGAGAACTGGAACTTGGTCATCAAGGAGTGCAACTCCTTGATTGTCTGTAACTGAGGTTACAGACAGTCCAACACCCAGGGTATGCTGTGATGCCCAAAAAGGCAGATAAAAGAAACTGCTTAGATGCAGAATTTTATGCCTTAAAACAGCAGGTATTTATTGTACGGCTGGGCAGCCTGCCAGCTATTGCTGGGAAAACAGGCTCCGAGCTGGTTAGGTCAGAATGAGTAATTTATACAGTTTTGGCAATGATTACAACATAATTACATACATATTCATATTATTGCATCATTAGAATACAATATTCATAGCAGGTGGAGTCAGGGTGGAGTTTGAGGTGTGGTCTCTATTTTGAGGAATATTTTGGTGGTAGACCCTGCCTTTACTTCCTCATGGGGTCTCGAATTTACTCCTCATCATCAGGTGACCTTCGTGACCTTCTGTTCTTTCCATTATTTCATGTTCTGTTCTTCCAGGCTTGAAGAAAACCTTGGCTTCAGGCCTATTTCACCTATTCAAATGTCTACCTTAGCCTATTTGGCTATAATTTATTACCTCTGGGCTCTTTGTGCAATGTACCTGTGGGTTAGGTCTACAGAATTTGTACAGAACAAAATCTCCTTAGAGCAATACAGAAAGGGGGTGGGGGGAGGGGAGATAAGGAGTTCTTAACTCGATTAACTCTTCTGAAGCCTTGTCTTCCTTCAGCTGTACCTCAGGAAAAAGGGGTAAGCTCTTCAGCAGTCAAATGGAAGCAACTAAAGAAGCAGCCTTAACCCTGAAGGGGCTCCAGTTCCTTCCCTTAAAGGAAAATGACGTTCAGTTAGAGTAGTTCATAGTTAGGTTGTAAACACCACCAAAAAAAGGTTAGGCCTAGAGACTGCTACATTTGCTTAGTGTTTAGGTCAGCAAGACAAAAATGTTTGCTAGGGATGGCAGGTTAAGAAAAAACCCCAAACTCCTCCCTCTAAGTTATTATGAGTTTGCAATTAAGAGGCTTCAGGCAAAAGGGTTTGGAAAAGGAAAGTAACAGCTCTTTATCAAAATATATATATAATAAAACAAAACAAGCAACAATACCGTAACCAAAGCTTTCAAAATGAAAGTCCTGCTTCCATCTCCGTGTAACTGTAAACCACCCCAAGCAAGAGCTGCTCGCTCTTTTCGGGAGGCGAGGGGTACGGTGGCTCACTGGCAGGCAGCAGGAAGGCATTAGCAGGTGAGGTGGCGACCGCCGTGGCTCTCCCGGGGCCATCCACGGGCTGCTCCCGGCGGCTCCACAGCCGCTCACGGCCGCGTGAGCGATGGTAGCCAGGCGGCAAACTGTGCAGGGGGCTTCCCCCCAGTCCCAGGGCTATGGGCACGGTCCTCATCAGCAGCTCCGGGCTCCCCAGCTCGGGAAACAGCAGTCCGCAGCGGTGGGCGGTGGGGGCCAGGCAGCCACCGCAGGGAGATGCTCTGATGTGGGGCACCGGCGGGCTGGGGCAGGTACCTCGCTCCAAAACGGTCGGCGGCTTATCCCAGTGGTGCGAGCAATGCCCAGCAAGGATCTGGGGCCGGCCCCGACGGCAGTGGCAGGCAGAGAAAGCTCCTTCTTGGGGGTTGAACAGGAGAACAAAGAGGTGGCTGCCAGCTCCGTCGGTGACGAGCAGGAAGGTATACAAGGAAAAGGCCCAGATGTGCAGCGCCAGCCTTTTTTAAAAAACCCTCCCCACTCCCGTGCCCTTCTGCGTGTGACCTCACTCCTTCCCGCCTTCACCACCCCGCAAAAAAAACGAGGGGGCGGGCCCTGCCATTGTTGGTGAGCGCTACTCATTAACTGGTAGTCGGAAAAAAATCCAACAGCTCTTTTCAAAACTAAAGCAACTAGTTGATTTTCCTGTCTCAAGCAAGGCAGATGGAAACAGTGTCGCAAAGTGGTTTTAAAAACCCCAGTCTGGGGCTTTCTGTTCTTGTTGTTGTTGCCACAAATTCTGTACCAGTTTCTGATGACAAGTAAAAGCTTTTATCATTGGTAGAGTACTGGCATAGGTTGCTCAGAAAGGCTGTGCGTGCCCCATCCCTGGAACTTTTCGAGGCCAGGTTGGACGGGACTCTGAGTAACCTGGTCTGGTGGAATGTGTCCCTGGCATGGCTGGGGGTTGGAACTAAAGGACCTTTAAGGTCCTTTCCAAGCCAGACGGTTCTGTGGCTCTTATGACTCAGGGATGCAAGGAGGGCCATCAACAAAACCTCTACACTGGACTTCCAGAGGGCAGATTTTGGCCTATTCAGAAGACTGGTTCAGAGGGTACCCTGGGAAACAACCCTTGAAAACAAAAGGACCAAGAAGGAAGGACGTGCTTCAAGAAGAAAGTCTTGAATGCACAGGAGCAGGCTGTCCCAGTGTGCTGAAAGGCAAGACAGCAGGGAAGACGGCCAGCCTGGCTGAACAGGAAGATTTTGAAGAAAATTGGGGGAAAATAAAAAGAGCTTTACAATTATGGAAAATAGGTCTGGGTCTGGCTACTCAGGAAGAGTTTAGGAATGTAATTAGGTCATGTAGAAAGAAAATTAGAGAGACAAAGGCAAAGTTTGAACTTGATCTTGCCACTTCTGTTAAGGATAACAAAAAGTCTTTCCACAGTAACATTGATAGCAAAAGGAGGGACAAGGAAAACCTCCATTCTTTATTGGACATGGGGGGGAACATAGTTATCAAAGATGAGGAAAAGGCTGAGGTATTTAACACCTTCTTCACCTCAGTCTTCAACAGTAAGACAGGTTATCCTGAGGACAGCTGGCTTCTGGAGCTTATAGACAGAGATAAGAAGCTGAACAGGCCCCTGTAATCCAGGAGGAAACAGTCTGTGACATGCTGAGCCACTTGCATCCTCACAAGTCTATGGGACAAGATGGGATTGATCCTAGGGTGATGAGGGAGCTGGTGGAGGAGCTTGCCAAGCTACTCACCATCATTTACCAACAGTCCTGGCTCACTGGACAGGTCCCAGACAATTGGAAGTTGGCAAATGTCACATCGATCTACAAAAATGGCTGCAAGGAGGACCCGGGAAACTCCAGGTCTGTCAGCCTGACCTCAGTGCCTGGCAAGGTTATGGAGCAGATCATCCTGAGTGCAATCACACAGCACCTACAGGATGGACAAGGGATCAGACCCAACCAACATGGGTGTAGGAGGGGCAGGTCCTGTCTGACCAACCTGATCTCCTTTTATGATCAGGTGACCCACCTGGTGGATGAGGGGAAGGCTGTGATGTGTCTGCCTGGACTTCAGCAAAGCCTTGGACACTGTCTCCCATAACATACTCCTGGAAAAGCTGGCAATCCATGGCTTGGACAGGGGCACTCTGTGCTGGGTTAGGAACTGGCTGGAGGGCCCAGAGAGTGCTGGTGAACGGGGCTGCATCCAGCTGGGACCCAGTCACCAGTGGTGTCCCCCAGGGATCAGTGCTGGGCCCAGTCCTGTTTAACATCTTTATCGATGGTTTAGATGACGGGATTGAGTGCACCATTAGTAAATTTGCAGATGACACTAAGCTGGGGGTGGTGGTGGGGTGTTGATCTGCTGGAAGGCAGGAGGGCTCTGCAGAGGGACCTGGAAAGGCTGGTGAAAGAATCACCAGGGAAGTGATCCTTCCCCTGTACTCAGCACTGGTGAGGCCACACCTGGAGTGCTGTGTCCAGTTCTGGGCCCCTCAGTTCAGGAAGGACATTGAGGTGCTGGAGCAGGTCCAGAGAAGAGCAACCAGGCTGGTGAAGGGACTTGAACACAAGTCCTATGAGGAGATGCTGAGGGAGCTGGGGTTGCTTAGCCTGGAGAAGAGGAGGCTCAGGGGTGACTTCATCACTCTCTACAACTTCCTGAAAAGAGGTTGTGTAGCCTGGTGGGTATCGGTCTCTTCTCCCAGGCAACCAGCAGTAGGACAAGAGGGCATGATCTTAAGGTCTACCAGGGGAAATTTAGGTTGGATATTAGGAAGAAATTCTTTACAGAGAGGAAAATCAACCATTGTAATGGGCTGCCCAGGGAAGTGGTGGATTCTCCATCCCTGGAGGTTTCTAAGATGAGACTGGATGTGGCACCTGGTGCCATAGTCTAGTAACCATAGAGGTGTTGGATCAAGGGTTGGACCTGGTGATCTCAGAGATCTCTTCCAGCCCAGATGACTCTACTATTCTATGATTCTCTGACTCTACGTTACCCCTCTCCCCCCACCTCCAGAGGCCACCACCGTGCCCAGATCATGGAACCAGCCCCTCTGTGACATCAGCCCCGGGGCTCAGGGCACTGCGGGCAACTCGAACGCTGCGAGCACTTTGTTGGCAGCTGCGCTGGAAGTCCTTCCAGCTGATTTGTGTCGCTGGCAGCGATGATTTTGCTGCGCCTGCTCCTCCTGCTGGCCCTGTGCGGGGCCGCGCACGGCACACCGGGCAAGTGCGGGTAAGTGGCCCCAGGGCCCCAGGGTAAGTGGCCCCAGGCTCTGGGCGGGAGCCCGGGCAAGCTTTAGGGTGCCCGCTCGTCCGCTGTGGCTACACCAGTTCTTCCCAAACCCCGTGTGGGAGCCTCAGCTGACCTCGCCCGCACTCAGACTGCGGCACAGCTCATCTCCGGGGCTGAAGCAGACACAGGAGC